CAGGATGGGGAATACATGTAAATCCATGGCTGATTCATGTCAATGTATGACAAAAACCACTACAATATTGTAAAGTAATTAGACTCCAACTAATAAAAATAAATGAAAAAATAAATAAATAATGCCCTCTGTATTATAAAAGCCAACCAAACATGAAACATTTTTGCCTTTAAATAGTATTTTCAGATATCATAATAAGATGCCGTCAGTTCTAACACATTCAGAATGGCAGAAGATAGTTAACAATTTTTGATATGCTGAGAGAGATTTCATACATGTTATATACATAGTAAAAATTCTTACAGAATTCAAGTCCAGTCAAAATACGTTTTGTGTAAAGCGTATTGGGGAACAAAACTTAATTTTTTCCTGATGATGCTTCAAAAATCATTTGAAGATCTGGTAGTTTGTGGATTATTGCTATGTACAGCCATTCGCACTGTACAATACATGCATTTCAAGTATATCTGCTGAGCATTTTACAAACTGTCTGAATTCTGCATAAAGGGAAGTTTAACATAAATTGGAATTCTGCAACATACTCTCTCCTGGCTTTTGGCTGTCAAGATATTTCCCCAACATTAAGTGTGTAAGAAATAGCCCCACAAGAAGAATTTTAAAAATTAAATGTCAAAGATTGTAACGCAGTATCCTGGAACTAAATTAATATTACTGTATTATCTCATAAAAAGAACGATATAAACTCTATCTTTTTCTCACTTCTTTTTCTTTCTTCTGACCTTTAGACCGGACCAAAATTCTATTATATTCTATCTGCATTTTGATCCTTTAATATGACATCTAAGTATTAACAACTTTTTATATGTGGTATTATAGTCACACATAAATGCACATATAATCACCAAAGGTTAACCAGCGTAACTCTTGATCGAAGCAAGCCACTTACACATGATTTCAAAAGCTTTCTGAACTGCTTCAGTGAGGCCCCTTTCAAATGAGGCTTTCAAAATTACTTCTAATTAAAATTAAAAAAAAACTAGAGCTCCTCTCTAGAATGCATTAGTCACAGTTCAGCTTTCATTTTTCTCTCTTTCTTTTCCTTCCATCTTTTTAATTGCCAGGAAAGAAAAAGTTAAACACTCAGTTGTGTCTAAGTCCTTACAACCCAGGGACTATAGCCCACCAGGCTCCTTTGTCTGTGGAATTCTCCAGGCAAGAATATTGGAGTGGGTAGCCATTTCCTTCTCCAGGGGATTTTCCCAACCTAGGCATCGAACCTGTCTTTCCCACACTGTGGACAGATTTTTTACCATCTGAGCAACCAGCTTCTATCAACTCGCTCATAGTCTATGACCACTGCTAAAGATTTTTTTAAATACACATTCTAGAAAAAAATCACAGGGTTTTTACTCAATGTTTCTTGGCTTTATTTCCTTTAAATAAAATATTTTCCATTTCATAAGTCTAAGCAAACATAATGAGCGATTTGTGACAAAGGGTGACAATTTAGAGGCAGAGGTTATGTATTTTACATGCTGACTACAAAAAAGATGGAAATTTCAGCTGAGCTCTTTATCTGCCACTTACCATTCTTAGAATAATGGCTGATAATGACAGAAATCACACTGACTAATAGCACTATTAACATCTTCCATGTTAGCTTACACTCTTGCTGTATCTGAGTTCCTTTTGTAAATTTTTAAAGTTCTATGTGGATTTTCTATGGAAAAAAAAGAAACACGAAAATTCGGGAATTTAATTTAAGCCACAAATGTTCACCAGCTTGCAAGATGCTTTCCATCTTTAGTGATCTTTTGTTAAAACCAGCAGATCTTGACTTTGTACTCAAATCATAATTTTGCTTTTCAGAGCTCTTTGAACCTGACCTATAAAAATCTCTCATGGATCCAGTGGGTCATTAGGTGGTTCAATAATCATTAGACGTATTTATCTTTCTGAACCAACGTGAGGACAAGACACAGTATGACAGTGATGCATACACCTTTCCAGAGGCTGAAATTTCACAGACTCTCTGGGTATTATTTTCTAGTACTGACATGAATACACATGCACTGGAATTGAAAGTACAAAATTATTATGCACAAAATGTCCCAGGTAAAATGCTATAGCTTTTGTTTGTTTGTGGTGTTCTGCTTGCCGTGGTGACTTCAAAACAACACAATTAACTTATAGAAGGAGCATCAGCTGGAAAACCCACAATTAGATATGTGGCTCCTTTTCCTGGGTAACTATTGCACAATTTCTCTTGGCCAGTTTCCGTTTCTTATGATGAATCACAGGGCCTTTGCAGAGAGATAAAAACAAAACACCTAGGTCTTTTGAGCCAAGATGATTACAGCTGAAAAGAATGGATTCATTTTTTGAAGATGGGGGATGTTAAAAACACAGTTATAGCTTGACTAGAAAGGGATTTTGCTGCCTAAAAGATATGGCATATTTGTTTCCTGTAATTGTGAACACAAATAATCCATTTGCAGCAACATTTCTCAATTTATTGTTTATAAACCAACTTCATTTTAAATCAACAGAATAAGTTCCAACAGCACATTTGTAACTTAGTTCTGAGTTGGGAGCTCAGAATGTATTTTACCATAGATGAAATGCTATGAATATTGTTTAGGCAGCTAGGCAAGACCACAAAATGTATTTCATCTTTTTCATCATTTTGATGTATTTATCAAGCACCAACCAGGCATAATATAAGAAACTGGGGATGCTAATATAATAGATGAGGTCCATGTCCCTAATTATGCTCAGGATTTAGACCGGAAGATACATCCAGGCTTTACAACAGTGATCTATTAATACATAAACCGCTCCTGCACCCCCAACAAAATTTTTTACACAAACAAGTCAACCTAAAGAAAATAAATCTTGGGGCCTTTCCTGGTGGTTCAGTGGTTAAGATTCTACCTTGAAATACAGAGGATAGGGATTCAATCCCTAGAGGGGGAACTGAGATCTCACATGCTACAAGGCACCTAAGTCTGCAAAGTACAATTACTGACCCATGCACCAAACAAGAGATCCCACGTGACACACCTAGGACATGATGCAGCCAAAGAAACAAATAAATATGAAAACAAAAGAAGTCTTTAAAGAACACAGTTAGGGACGCTGATTTATCTCCTATTACTATAGAAACTGAACTAAGTTTGCTTTTGTGACACCACACAGCGGTGAAACAAGTGGGGCTGCAGGCAGATTTCTCCGCGCTGATGCTTTTCTGGTTTGTCTTGCCTGGGTTATCAAAGCAAGTTGAGGCTCCAGGCAGTAGGGCTGCTCCCAGCCTGCACGGAAGTCAGGGTACAGTGGACCAGAAGGGCTACAATTAGTTACTTCCCCTGGCAATCCTAGGGCTAGAGGGTGATTGATTTTGTGTGATGAAGGCAAGCATTCCTGAAGGTTCTTCCATAATTGCCTTATTCAAGATTAATTTTCCCATAAATACAATGGAGTATTACTCAGCCATAAAAAGGAATGAAATTAGGTCTTCTGCAGAGACATAGATGGATCTAGAGACTGTCATATAGAGTGAAGTAAGTCAGAAAGAGAAAAACAAATACTGTATATTAACTCGTGCAAGTGGAATCTAGAAAAATGGTATGAAAGTGAAAGCTGCTCAGTCATGTCCGACTCTGTGACCCCTGGACTATATAGTCCATGGAATTCTCCAGGTGGAGTGGGTAGCCTTTCCCTTCTCAAGGGGATCTTCCCAAACCAGGGATCTAACCCAGGTCTCCCACATTGCAGGTAGATTATTTACCAGCTGAGCCACAATGGTGTAGATGATCATATTTGCAAAGCCAAGATGGAGACATAGACATAGAGAACAAATGCATGGACAGCAAGAGGGAAAGGGTGGAGCAGAAGAAATAGGGAGATTGGGATTGACACGTCTACACTATAGATAGTATGTGTTTTTATTGGTCAGTTGCTCAGTCCTGTCCAACCCTTTGCAATCCCCATAATATGTATAAAATAGATGACTAATATACAGCAAGGGAACTATATTGCATGCACTGTGGTGACCTGTATGGGGAAACAGTCCGAAAGGGAAGGTATATGTGTATACACATGCCTGATCCACCTTGCTTACAGCAGGAACAAACACAATATTGCAAAACAACTACACTCCAAAAAATTAATTAAAAAGAAAGAAAGAAGTGGAAAACATGGCATCAGGTCCCATCACTTCATGGCAAATAGAAGGGCGAAAAGTGGAAGCAGGAACATATTTTATTCTCTTGGGCTTCAAAAACCACTGCAGATGGTGACTATAGCCATCAAATTAAAAGATGCTTACTCCTCAGAAGGAGAGCTATGACAAACCTAGACAGAGTATTAAAAAGGAGAGCTGTCACTTTGCTGACAAAGGTCCGTCTGGTCAAAGCTACAGCTTTCCCAGTAGTCATGTATGGATGAGAGAGTTGAACCACAAAGAAGGCTGAGTGCCGAAGAGTTGTGCTGGAGAAGACTCTTGAGAGTCTCTTGGATTGCAAGGAGATCAAATCAGTCAATTTCAAATGAAATCAACCCTGAATACTCACTGGAAAGACTGTTGGGAAAGCTCCAAAACTTTGGCCACCTGATGTAAAGAGTCGCCTCATTGGAAAAGACCCTGATGCTGGGAAAGTTTAGCGGCAAAAGGAGAAGGGGATGGCAAAGGATAAGATGGCTGGAGGGCATCACCGACTCAACGGACGTCAGACTGAGCGAAGTCCAGGGGATGGCGGAGGACAGAGGAGGCGGGCGCGCTGCAGGCCGTCGAGTCGCAGGGAGTCGGACCTGACTTAAGAGACTGGACGGTAAATGCACAATCTTGAGAATGCATTTTTGCTTACTGCTGCTTGTTAAATTTTCTCAACAGTATCACGGATATCCTGCAGAATGCTCCTTCCTGAACGGTGTGGCAGTACTTTCCTCTCCTCTGACTCTGGTTCTAGACTTACCGGTGCTCAGGTGAGTGGTTCAGCACAAGTCCCCGCTCCACCACTTGGTGAGTGCTCGTGACGCTGTTAGACAATATTTCTTAAGATGTCAAATATAACCACCGTGAAGGTTAAAAGAAGAGTAAAAGAGTAAACAAACCTTCCCTCTAAGAGGTCCCAGTCTCTGGAAAACTGTGACAGCTGTGGAAGAAATGGCCTTGTTTGACATTTGCCGGGCCCGTCAGCATCCAAATTATACAAGTCTCGATTTCGTTGGTTCTGTTTTTGTTTTTGATTTGGAGCATGGGAGGAAACTCTCTGGATGGAGATTTTCGGCATAAATGCAGAACACGCAAGTAGGACCTCAGGTTCCTCCTGAATGTTGGGAGGTTGTGAGAAAGGTGTGAGAAAAGTTACCCCAGTGATGTCAGTCAATTCTCTAATTTGATGTAACAGTCAAGATTTCGTTAATATTTTGTCATATTTCAAACCACCATAATGCAAATTTGTATAAAATATAGGCAATTGCTCACAGAGTAAGTACTCCGTTCTTATTCTGTTCTTAACCTGCATGAAGTGATCTGGGACACAGGGTTACACCTTGGTCTTCACATGAGGGAAGCAGCTGGTTCTGAAGGAAGAGGAAGTGATAACAAGGGTCAGAGGGAAGAAAAACGTCTGGGCCCTGAAGCCTGACTGGCTGGATTCAGCAGGTGCTCTTGCCCAGACCTCTGCCCGGTGAGCTGAAGCAAAGGCCAGGATCTCATCCCACAGAGGCCAGCATGCCTGGGGAACACGGCCTGCTGAAATTAGTGGGAAACATGCAATATCCCGCAACAGGAGGATAAGCATGAAAGTTCAGCACCTCCAGGAAGAGCCTTTAAGGATAAACATTTAAGAGCCTCTTTATTCTGCCAATTTAGTTTCTCATGGTGAGAGTCCAACGTTCAAAAAGTCAGTATGATAAAACATTGAAGAAAGGGTATTTATAAAAATAACAGAAACTGGAAAATGTGATTTTTAAAAGAGATAGCCCTAGAAAAATACTAATTTGTGACCTAAACCCTTTCTCTGAGCCTTGATTGTGATTGGTACTTTTTTGTGTATCATCTCCTTTTCTCAGTAAACCTTAGGCTTTTATCATTTTGGTATTGTAGTGTTTTTCTAAGCTTTATCATTTTTCTACCTCTAAAGTAAAAGAAAGCATATGTGGCTTTCTCAACATAATCCCAGTGACATTTTTAAAAATCCTTTTATAATTCTACTTAAACTTGTGCTTTTATTTGTGCCTTATGGAATTGTTCATGGGGGTTATTGCCATGAAAACCTATGCAGAAACTTCTATGTGCTTGTCTACTAATACCCAGAGATTCTTTGTCTCTTAAATGTTTTGCAGCACATGGCTACTGAGAGCACATTTGTTTTGAATTTAGTGTCTAGGACTATTACCTTACACGTCTATCTACTGAATTACAGATAGCACTTATTTACATAGGCTCTTTCTAGTCAGCAAGGTCCCTCATATCTATGGCGACCTTTTCACCTAGCATCCCTCACCATGATTGTATGTCAACTGCACATTTCATCATTGTCAATTCATGTTTCACTTTGCAAGTGATTTCTCCATTTATATATTTTAGTTGTCTTTAATGCTTCATGTGAGGTTCTACATGATGCTTTTATAAAGCAAGAGTTAAAATTTTAACCAGGTGAAACTTTAATTTCTTAAAAATATCTTCAGTATTTTTCATTATAGTAAGAAAACACACCAAAGTCTCCTGAAAGTGTTATCTTTGGGGCTGTGACTCTTTTTACACCTTTAATGATGAAGAGCATTTTTGGCAAATAAACTTTAGATTTTTGTACAAGACAAACTTACTTTAGGGAGTGACCATTGTATTTGCAACATGCCATTTACCTAATTATGTTTGTAATCCCAAGAAAACAAATGACATACACCACTGTAAATTCTCTGTGCAGAATTTTCTGGTAAAATCATTAGTATTCAAATCTGTATTTTAAAATAGTTCTAAATTATAACATTTTCCTGGTTAAGATCAAGTATAATTCTATAGTGATATGGCTTTTTAGACTTTTACCCTAACATTCTAAAACAGGCCACAAAATTTTTTAAATTGCAGCTTTTCCACTTTCCAAATTGCTTTGTTCTTAAGTCCTTATTTTATTCTGTGATTACATTTCTAAGTTACACAATTAAAAGGTAACACTGGGAGATCCTCATTAGACTGTGGACTCCTAGAGGGAGGAGACACCATCTTATTTATCTTTGTAACTCTGGTACCCTTTTAGAAAATAACCCTGCTAACAATATAAAACAAATTTATCAAATTGATTTTTGAATGCATTAACTTTTCCCCTGAACAGTCTCAGCGCATTGCTAATTTCCTGTTAAATTCATTGCCACCCTCAGGTTTTCCTCATTCTGCCCTGCTGTACTCTGCATTGTATCCTCCATTGTAGAATCAAACATATTTTACACTTTTAAATTAAATTTTATTATACAATGTATACTCAAAGAAGAAAAATTAGGAAATACAAAAACCCAAAAGTCCCTGAATTCCTCACCCAGAGAGAGACATGATGATTTAAGTGGATGTAATGTAAGCCTCTTGTTCTGCATATAAATGCAACAAATATATGTTTTGTGTATGTGCAAAAATCGTGACAGTACTACCTATGTTACTTTGTAACATCTGGAGCATCTTTATAGGTCAATAAAGATACAATTATCACATCAGTTTTTACTAATGGCATTTTGTTTCACCACAGATTTTCATATAAGTTATTTGCTAAAATGCTATATACTGGCAGCCCATGACTCAGGGCCTACAACTAGTATAATTTTGCCTGCATATAATTTTAAAAGTTGGAAGATAGCTTACAAGAAAATATGGATTTCCAATTTATTTGGCAAATCAAAAACTCTGGCAAGCCTGAGCCAACATCCCCACAGAGCAGCCTCTGCTAGAGCTGCCTGCATGATTTGCCACATTCCCAACTCACCACTAATCCCTATTGTCCTACACCCAGACTCCTTCACTAATCTCAGTTACCTTTCACTTGACTTATTCCCTCTGGGTAAACAATTCCCTGTTTGGGGAGGTTTTTCATTATTACAAAACCCTTATGATGAATAATCATCTTTGTACATTCTTTTGTGTGGTTTTGTTTTGTTTTGTTTTTTTCCATTAGGATAAGGTCCTAGTAGTGGAATTGCTGAGCTAAAAAGAATTCTTAAGTCTTGATTTCTCTCACCAAATGAGTCTCCATAAAGTTTTTCTGTCTTTACACTCCTACCATCTGATTCCATGAAAATCTGTTTCAAACCACCAGCCCTCCTCTCCTCTGTCCCTCTGGGCCACAGTATTCTTCTGATCTTTACTGATCTGGAAAGGATAAACAAAATGATAATCCTATTGTCAGCAAGGGTGAGACAGAGGATGGCTAGCCCATACTTGCATAAATCAGTATTTCTCAAGCTGATTGCCTGAATTGCAAATACTCACCTATTTCTCCCCTAGTCAATGATCATTTCTAAAGCATAATTAGACGTGGAATTGTCAGTCTATTCATTTTTATTAATCATAATACCAAACCACACTTTTCCACAGATTCCCTGCCTGCACTTCTATTCTGCTCATCTTCTTGTGTAACTGAGGAAACTTAAACAAGAAGGCTGAGCTAAAAATATTTTGACATATAATCTCTTAGCTGAAACCATATGGTGAATCTACTTGATGTGAAAAAAAAAAAATCAGTTTCCCTGTTATTGTCCCTGACTTCCTAATACATGGGTCAGGTTGATTTCTATACATCCTATGCTATTAAAGCAGTTCTGATAATGATAGAGAAAAAATATGAGGAAAATGACTGTGATATGTTAGATTCTGATTTATTTTCATACAAATTGTTGTTGTTCAGTCACTAAGTCTTGTCTGACTCTTTGCGACACCATGGACTGTAGCACGCCAGGCTTTCCTGTCCTTCACCATCTCCTGGAGTTTGCTCAAACTCATGTCCATTGAGTCAGTGATGCCCTCCAACAATCTCATCCTCTGTCACTCCCTTCCCCTGCCCTCAATCTTTCCCAACATCAGGGTCTTTTCCAGTAAGTCCAATACATCTCTTTGTCAAAGTATTGGAGCTTCAGCTTCAGCATCAGTCCTTCCAATGAATAGTCACGGTTTACCACCTGACCTGCCTCCTGAGAAATCTGTATACAGCTCAAGAAGCAACAGTTAGAACTGTGCTTGGAACAACAGACTGGTTCCAAATCAGGAAAGAGGTATATCAAGGTTGTATATTGTCACCCTGTTTATTTAATTTATATGCAGAGTACATCATAGGAAATGCCAGGCTGGATGAAGCACAAGCTGGAATCAAGATTGCCAGGAGAAATATTAATAACCTCAGATATGCAGATGACACCACCCTTATGGCAGAAAGTGAAGAGGAACTAAAGAGCCTCTTGATGAAAGTGAAAGAGGAGAGTAAAAAAGTTGGCTTACAACTCAACATTCAAAAAACTATTATCATGGTATCCAGTCCCATCCCTTCATGGCAAATAGATGGGGAGACAATGGAAACGATGAAAGACTTTATTTTCTTGGGCTCCTAAATCACTGCAGATGGTGACTGCAGCCATGAAATTAAAAGACATTTGCTCCTTGGAAGGAAAGTTATGATCAACCTAGACAGCATATTGAAAAGCAGAGACACTACTTTGCCAAAAAAGGTCTATCTACTCAAAGCTTTGGTTTTCTCAGTGGTCATGTATGAATGTGAGAGTTGGACTTTAAAGAAAGCTGAGTGCCAAAGAACTGATGCTTTTGAACTGTGGTGTTGGAGAAGACTCTTGAGAGTCTCTTAGACTTCAAGGAGATCAACCCTAAAGGAAACCAGTCAACCGTTCAATCCTAAAAGAAATCAGTTCTGAATATTCATTGGAAGAACTGATGCTGAAGCTGAAACTCCAATACTTTGGCCACCTGATGTAAAGAACTGATTCATTAGAAAAGACCCTGATGCTAGGAAAGATTGAGGGCAGGAGGAGAAGGGGATGACAGAGGATGAGATGGTTGGATGGCATCACCAACTCAATGGACATGAGTTTGAGGAAGCTCCAGGAGTTGGTGATGGACAGGGAAACTTGTCATGCTGCAGTTCATGGGGTCGCAAAGAGTCGGACACAACTGAGCAACTGAACTGAATTGATTTCCTTTTGGATTGACTGGTTTGATCTCCTTGCTGCCCAAGGGACTCTGAAGAGTCTTCTCCAGCACCACAGCTCGAAAGCATAAATTCTTCAGTGCTCTGCCTTCTTTAAGGTCCAGCTCTCACATCTGTACATGACTATGGGAAAAACCATAGCTTTGACTACAAATCATGGAAGCCCCATAATTAAGCCTGGTCCTAAACGGACACTTTTTGAAGGACTGGGAACCCAGAGATTTCTTCTGTGTTTCATACATATACCTCTGTTCAATACTTGGCTGCTTCACATATAGATGATGTTCAATACCCATTTGTTAAATCCAACGAATTTCACAAATAAACAAATTCATTCTGCTAAAAAAATAAAGTAAAAAAGGAAACAAAAAAACTTCCAAGCCCGTTCCCCCTTAATGCCAAATGACAGTGAGGCCCACGATTCTGCATGTGCTCAGTCAATCCTGAATCTCATCACAGAAGAAAAGACTTCAGTTTTGAAATAATAGCAAAAGAAAGGATATGTGTGATATTATGTTCTTTAGCTTTAAAAAGACTTTTAGTTTTCAATTATTATGTTTAAATAATTTCATCAGCTGTATCTATGGCTATATACACACACATAATTTATATATACTGACTCATAACCATGTGTATATACAATCACCTAAGCTATATATAATAGATAAAACTACAGTATATTCCTAGCTTTTGCAGATACAACTATTTGTAAAAAGATTATCATAATTAACAAATACATAGCTCAAAACATCACACATCCATGAAAATTCCTAAAGAGAATAAACTTTCCATGGATGTGCTATATCTTTGGGGGTAATCATATTTCTCCTCCCCCAGTAAATCTTGAAAGCCATGGCAACTTCCAAACCTGAAGACAGACACCCTGAAGACATTAGATTCTCTTCTGTCATAAGAAGATACTGATGAAAGATGCTCACATCACAGTGTTATCATCAATGAAAGATTTTTTTCCCCAAGAAATAATAGAAATAGAAATGAGCTAGGGTTACTTTATAAATCATATTTTGAATTGTGAATTTTTTCAGGTGACTTAACTGAAGGGTGGAAGATGGGAAGCCATTTGCCATTTAATCCATTTCATTTAAAGGATCACCAGCTATATTTAATGCCATCCAAAAGTAAACTCCTCAGAAGCTGAAATACTAGGCTAGGAAGGCAGGCAGTGGAATCAGGAAGGTTATTCTAGTTTCATTGCATTTTGTTGAAGGGCAAAGGCAGCTTCTCATTCATAATAAGAAACTGACCCCAAAGTGACAAAAGGTAAAAAAACTATTCCAGGCTCATGGAACCCAAGTTGGCAATTGATATCTATCCACAATAGCAGCAAATTGTTTCCTTCTATAAACATTCAAGACAGAGACTCTGCCTGTTAGGAAGCTAGAAACCGTAGAGGTTATTAATTCATCTAAAAAAATGTGAGAGAGTTTTATGTAGCAAAATATATGCCGACCAGGTACTTGATTTTGTGCAGTTCTTATACATTATATAATGCACACTTTTTAAAGGACCTGAGACTCCCCAGGGACCTATTTCACTGAACATTCCCAACATCCATTGTCATTGGGCCTTTTTATTCAAGAGTAGCTCTATCGCATCAACATTGTTGAACTGCATAGGAACATCAAGTTCTCAAATGTTTTCTTTGTATTTTTGTATCTTAAATTTGCATACTACTATATTTTTCCTTTTAATTTCAGGTGAAAAATACCACAGATAATATCTGTCAAAAGTTGTCTTTGGTAATTAGGTAGCTATTGCACAGTTGGATGGTTTAGCTAGAGTTAGGATGTGGTATTTTTAAAACAATTCTTTCTTAGGATATAGCAGTCTCTGTTACAATACTATTTCCTAATGCCTTTTCTCCTTCCTTGAGTCCCTGCTTCCTAGCTCTTGAGGTCTCGGTCTTACTCATATGGAACACATTCAGTTTTATTGAGGTAGTAGCTGAATCTCAGGATCAGTAATTATCAGTGGGACACAAGACAGGGGCATGGCCTGCCAAAGAATGTCACGGAAGCACTCACAGTTCTTTGTCAAGCTACGTGTAGAGATACCCATCTCTGGAGACTTGGCATTGCTTCCCCTGGCAGGCAGGAGTGGGAGAGAACTGCATCTCTTGTAGGTTGAAAATCAATGCCACAAAGAGCCACAGTTGTTGACTGTGAATATGTGGTAGCCCTCATGTCCGCTTATACAGAAAAAGTTGAGAAATACTCTTCTAAATTCCACCCACCCGGAGGTATACTTACAGTTCTATTCCACTTCAAGCACCATGCCCAGTATGTAATGTGTTCAAGAAAAGTTGTTGAATAAGATGAGTGAATCAGTGCACACATAAACACAAGCTTTTCACATGAACTCGGAACTTAGACATTTGATTTGCAGCTGAAATTTCATGAAATCATTGTGTGACAGGTGGTTTCACAATAAACACTGCTTCTAAATAAAACAATCTGAGATCTCCATCAGTGAACTAGTAAAACGAATATTAACTCTTTGACATCTCAATTAAACTGGACTCAAATTAATCACAGGTTATAACCTTGTTAGGAGAAGAAGACAGTTGTCCTTTGCACCCTTCCTGAAGCCCCAAATTTTTCTGGAGGAGCTGTGGATCCATCGAAGGAAAGACTGATTCAGAAGATGCACAGATATGGTCCTTCAGTGGATCCCCAACTTGCTCTGGGAAGATTAGGGGCTTCGGGAAGGATAGAAAGAATAATTATCCTTCTACCATCAATGCCCCCTCTACCAGCTACCATACTTCTTCAGCTCTAACTTCAGCTTTTAATTAAGTTGATTGGTGAGAGGTCAACAGGTTAAAGCAACAAGTTGTTCCTCACGGATGAGAAAACTGGCTGTCCACCACACTGGGCACTCCTTCACTGCACAATCTAAACTACTGCTAAGAGGTGGCTGCCCAACCAGAGACTACATTTCCTGGTTCTCCATGCACCTAGGCGAAGCCAGTGCAACTAGTTCTTGCCAAAGGACTGTCAACAGAAGTAAGATGTGTCCTT